GGTGTTGAGGCCAAATAATTCAGTTTTAGTCTCATCTGCCTCAGAATCTTCAAGGTGCGTTTTGGCAAAGCTAGTCATGTGGCCTTTCTTGAGGAGTGTCTTTTTTCTTGCAACCCTCCCATACAACCCACATTTGTGGAGAATTTGTGATATTGTTGTCCATGCACACAAATGACCACTCAGTCATAAATTCCTGCAGCTGCTTCAGAGTTGCTGTAGACCTCTTGGTAGCCTCTCTGGCCAGTTACCTCCTGGCTCTTTCATCCAGTTTGGAGCAACGTCCTGATCCAGGGAGGGTCTGTGCTGTACCAAATACCTTCCAATAATTCCACTTCTTAATAATAGACTGTGCTTCTTGGCATTGATAAAGCCTTTGAAATGTTTTTGTATCCATCTCCTGACTTGTGCCTATCCACAACTTTATCCCGGATATATTTTGGCAGTGCCTTGCCACCCATCGTTAATTGCTTGCTTCAGTTGCACTACCAAGGCCTGAAACACTCCAGATAATCAAAATGACCAGAGCTGATCACAGTTGAAAGTCAAATGGCTTTGTGTGCCATTGAGAAGGTGATTAGCTACACCTGATTGAGTTGACAAGTCATTTTTAGGAGGGGGTGATCCTTTTTCCAACTCAGTGATTTCGTTTTTTTATTTATTTATTTTTTTATTTTTTTATGACATGTTGGTGTTATATCTTTCACTTGGATGTTATAAGTTGCACTGAGTAAATACAGCTGGATAAAACAAAAGCTGTGCCTGTCTTCATTTCAAATATGAATTCTGCACAAGAATTACTGTATATTTTCAAGTACAAAAGGCAAGTACAAGATATAATCCAAGGGCTGGAACCATAATAAAATGTATCTGCTCTGTAAGACAAACATTTGCACATGAGCTGCAGTGTGTATCATAAGAAATATATGCAAATATTTTGTTTGTGGCCTGTGCATCTGCACCCTCACCACTAGCCAGGGTGTATTTGCATGCTCTGCTCCCTCATGGATCAAAAAACTTCAAGCATGATTTTTGTTCTTTTATTTTGATGTATTGGATATTACAGGCATAGATTATTACTTGACATTTAATGTTACATTAAGTATGGAGATGGCTTATTGGCATGGTTGAATGAAAAGTTACATAAATGCTTAAGTTTACTGTATCTCTTTCTTTCCACCCTCTCTTTGTAAAGAAGGATTTACTGCACTCATTGTAACATTTGAAAATTTGATCTTCCTTCGAATGTAATAGCCTGCCAGGTTTTTTTTTTCTGACATTGAAAAAGAAAAGAATACAGTTTG